CCCAATTAAGGACTTCATTTTCCAGCTTCACTTCTACCTCGGTGTGGTCGTGTGATTAAGCTCTGGCCAGTGGGATACAAGTGAGTGTGATGTATGTTATTTTAGAGTTGTGCCTTCATAGGGAAGGCGTGTGCTCCTTGCACGTCCTCTTTCTTCATTCCTGCTGTTTGTAACGTGAGTGCAGGGCTGAGTCCCGTTTGATGGGAATGAAGCCAACACTCCAGGATATTAGAGCAACAAGATGTAAAGAGCCAGGGTCCCTGACAGTGTAGAGCCACTATATCAACCAAAACTGTTTATGCTCATTTTTGGCCTTTTTTACTGGAGTTGAACTTTCATCCTAACCTTTAAGCCTGCCAACCAGGAGATAACCATTACTAATACTTTTAGGCAGTCATTTTTCTGTGTGAATATCTTTATGTGGTTGAGATTATACTCTATGTTCATTTCTGAACACTTACTAAACATGTATTGTGATTATCTTTCTTTGTCAAAAGATGTATATCCATAATTACCTTTTAAAATAATAACTAGTGTTCTATTATGCACCTACCATAATTTAGTTTCCTCATTATTGGGTGGTTTTTGCTATGATAGTACTGTAATGAACATCTTTGCATATAAGTCTTTGACCACATTTCTGATCTTTTCTTTAAGGTGGATCACTAGAATTAGTCATTACTATTTCAGCAAGAGTATATAGTTCTTAAAACTGACAAATTGCTTCCAGAAAATTATACTAATTTACATGTCCAAACACCATAAGAGAATATGTATTTTCCTGACTTCTTACTAAGATAATTATCATTTAAAAATGCTTTTGCTATTAAGATATTTGAAAATATTTTATTTTTCTTTCAATTTGCATTTTTCAAATGACTAAAGAGGTTGAGTTGATTTTCCCATGTTTATCAGACACAGGAAATTTCTCTTCTATGAATTGGCTATTCTTATTCATTTCTTATATTGCTATTGATTCTTAATGTTTCTATTATTCAATTTCTATGAATTCTTTACATATTGAAAATATTCATTCTTTATAAAATTATGACATGTGTTTTCCTAATTTGTTATGTCTTTTAACTTTATGATATTTTTTGATAAATAGAAGTTCTAAACATATACCTTTAAAATATATTGTCTGTTTTCTTAGTTCTTCCATTGTTTTCATGGTTAGAAAGCATTTCATCCTTCAGAAATAAGATATTATTTTCAATTTCCTTATATTTCACAATTGTTTTGCTTTTGACACTGATTTCTGAAAGCAACTTAAAATTTATTTCAGTTTATAGTATGAGGAATCTAAAGAATTCTTTCTAAATACCTAGCTAGTTTTCTCTATTGTCTTATGATACTTGCTTTATCACCTGTTAAGTCCATTTGGGCTGCTCTAACAAAGTGCCACAGATTGGGTGGCCTAGACAACAATGATTTCTAATAGTTTTGAAGGCTTGAAGTCTGAGGTCAGGTTGCTAGGATGACTGAGTTATGATGAACATCCTGCAACCTTTTGAGTTGCAGATGGCCTGGTTCTCATTGTATCCTCACAGGCTATAAAGAGAGAAAGGAAGTAAGCTCTCTCAGGACTCTTATAAGAGCACTAATCCCATTCATGAAGCCTCCACCCACATGACCTCAATGACTTCCCAATGGCCCCACTTGGAAATTCATCACATCTAAAGTTTAGGGGGATACACAATTAGTCCATAATATTACATATTAAATTTTTACATATATTAAAATATTAAAGTTTATATGGGCTATCTAAATTGATTTATCTGTTTATTCTTTAAAGGTTGGCTCTTGTAAATTATTTTTGAAAAAATTTAAATATAAAAAATCCAAAGAATAATATAGCAATCATCCATATTTCTACTACCCAGAATTAATGATTGACACTTTTTATATTTGTCTTGGTACAAATCATTTTAGTGGTTTAGGCTTTATAGTATTTTCTTATAACTGGCTGGGCAGCTGTCACATCAACTTTTTTTCCTAAAAGTTTCTTATCTATTCTTTAAATAAATTTTAAGTTCCTTCAAAAATTCATTGAGAATCTTTATAGGATTCTGTTGGCCCATAAAATAATTTGCAAAGAATTGATGTTCACAACCCCCCAAAAAGTATATTCTCTTACTTTCTTAGATCTTGTTCATATGTCTCAATATCCTTAGATACTTTACCAAAATTACGCAGTGAAATAGAAAATGGAGATTTGTACCCATATATTTTTACTGAAGGTATAGTATTCTTTTTACAATATTACATTCTGTCATTTGGCAAAGAGCCTGAAAGATACTGATAAGAACTAGAATACAAAGTGCTGTGCCAAATGCTGTAAATGGAGAAACAATATTGTGAGAACTGACTTTTTTTGCATTCAAGGCACATTTTTTTCTTAAAAAAACAAATACCAAGTCTATGACACATGCAATTAATTAAAAAAACAATGAAAGAGAGCAGCGCAATTCTTTTGCAGTAGTGGTTGCTCAGCAGACTTCTGTGAATTGAATGACTGAATGCAAGATGAGCTTTCACTAGATTTCTTTTTTTGTTGTTGTTGCCCACTCAGCCTCTTTTTTGACTGCTGGACTTTTTACTGCTCATGCTTACTTTAGTTCTGGCTTTTGGATGCTTGTGGCTGTGTGTTCACCAATGCTAAACAAGCTACATCTTCCATCTGGACTCCCTGCTTTTTGAGAAATGTCTGTGGCTTTATTGCAACAAGTACTAACAAAACTTGGTCCAATTACATAAACTTATTAAATATTATATGAATAACGTTGCCACCACCACTGATGTATGCTGCGATTCACTCCCAATTCCACTGACATAAATAGGCACTCCCCCAGACAGATAAGCTTTTGCAGATGGCTACCTTTGTCCCTCAGCTGGCTGCTGTTCCCCCAGAAAGCTGACTTGGCTCCACCGCCATGGAAACTACCAGGATGGTAGTGTAACCAGGATGCTGATGAAGAACAGACCTGAAGCAAGGCAGAAAGTAGATGAATTATCACAGGATAAAATTCCTTCCCATTTGCAGCTGTACGGAGGAGACACAGGGTAACTTCAGGAGCAAAATTCCTAGGTCAGATTTTTGTTGTCATTTTAAAAAAAAAATCAAATGCACCCAAACTTTTATAACCAAGAGTTGTGCTGTTGGAGATAGTCAGTCAATCCTTTTGATAGAATTTACATGACTTTCTTTCTTTTTCTTTTTTTTTTTTTTAGGAATTTCTTTCAGAACATGCTTTGTTATATTATTTCACACATCTGCAGTGGAGCCTTACCTTGTTCCTTTTAGGGCAGCTTTGATTCCTGGAAATGGCAAAACTCATTTGAAATTAAGTCTACTGGGTAAAATTAGTACACAGAAGAGATACCTGGGTTTTTGAAAATGATGGAACTATGACTCTGAAGTTCTAAAACTGATTTTTATTTGGATTTTGTACGGACCATAATGACACAGGAATTAATATAATGACAGCCTCATTGGTTTATATACATTTAAAGGTTTATAGTTCCTGATGCTGCTTTTGGTGAGGTCAAAACTCATTTGTAGGACTATATTCTAGGTTGCATAATTAAATGCCAATCCTATTATCTGAATTCCTCTTTCATGTCTTGTCAGGAAATTGTGGGATTAACCAGACCTCACTAAGTCTTTCTGCTGCCAAATTCAGATTGCCTCTCGTATACTTTGTTCCCTGTCCAAGAGACCTGATAAAACCCATTTATAACATGGTCTCTTCCCTTATGGAAGTGACAATCTCTGAGTATTAGAGTGATTGATTAATTGCTGGGCCACCTGGCTGTTTTAGTGGTTTTCTTTTCTGAAAAATTCCAGACATTTTATTTCTTACTTTGTTATAGTTTGATGAAATCCAGACTAAAATTTAGTCTCAGGTGATATTCTCTTATTCTTATTTATGAAGAACTTAGACCTTTTTTAACGAATTTGATAAAATGTTCAGAAGCTTACTCAGCTCAACTTTTAAATATTTTTTTTAAACAACAGTCTAGATGCTTGGATTATGAAATCTAACTATTCAGTGATAATAATGGGACAAGCAAGGGTAACCTTAAGAAGAGGGAGAAGGGGTAGACCAAAGGAGAATAAAGAAAAAGAATTCTGGAAGCACCAGCAGGGAAATAGTTCTCACACATACTAAATGTGTGGTGTACACCATGCACTGTGTTTGGTACGTCCCCTGTATTACCTCATTTGATTTTTGCAATTACTGCATTAGGTAGTTATTTTTCACCCCACTTTATGGATTAGGAAACGGAAGCATTGTGCTTAAGATTGCACAGTAATAAGTAGTAGAACTTGGCTACAAACCTATGTCTTTCTAACTACAAAGTCCATTTTCTCTCTCCTGCGCTTTACTTAGTTCATACATTGGCTGTAGCTGTAAAAGGTAAATCAATCATTACAGCAGAATAAAGAGAGGAAGTTCTCATTTTCTTCACTTCAACTTTTACAGCATGTTTAGAACCTGGTTAAAGAACTAGAAGTGATATGAAACATAAAAATGTTAATACTAGCTAGGTTGGGGCCCCTGGAAAAGCCAATTAATGAAAAAAGATAGCATTCGCTTGCCACGTACTCACATGGAGTGAGTTTCCTTATTAAAGAATAAAGGCTTTTCATAGTCATCATTTTGCATAATCTAGAATGTGTGAGGGAAGGTCATCTTTACACAACATCGCGACACTTTGATGTTCCCATTCACTATGCCATTTTGGCTTTCTGATACAACATTTACTGTATAGTGTATCTTCCTCCGAGGGCTTTCTTCTAGATCAAAAAAAGATGGAGTAGCATGGACTATTTTGGTATGTGCATTTGCTCCTTCTCTGAGGCAGAAATGTTTGCTTTTCTACAGTAAGGTCACTGGGAGACTAGCTCAGCACATAGAATTTCAAATATAGCTTTTGTACTCCATTTCTCTCGGCTAATTTGCATATTGTTGCTGTATCACCTGTTTGCTTTGCAGAGAACATACATTCAAGTATAGCAGGAAGTTTGCTGTTGCCCAATGACAAGGGCTGAAATATTTACAGAAGGAAAACCAGATCCAGGTGAGAAAGGTTTCTTACATGATTCTCTCCCTCTCCTTTACTTAAACCGATTTTGAAAACACCAAGAAGAATTCTTTGTTTTGCTTCATTTGATTTTTTATTTTGCGTCATCTCTCGTGATAATATTGTTTGCTCTTTTTCTTTCCTTTCTTCTTTTTTTGGCTCATTTCATAACATCTCGTCATATTTTATTGTTAAATTGCTTGTTTAATTGTCGATCTCCCCCACTAGACTGCAAACTCTCTCTGTCTTTTTCAAAACTGTACATCACATAGCCAAGCACTTGGCATTCATAGGCTGTTTTTAGAATGAATGAGTGAGGGCTGATTGAGTGGTTGACTTCAGTGATTTTTTTTATAGGATCACTAGCACTTTTCCGTTAGTATTCAACCAGACCATTTTGTTATAAACACATGATATCTCATTCTTGAAATATAATAATCAGAACACTTGAATACATTTTGCAAAGAATTTATAAGAAGACTAAGATATGCTGAGACATTTGGGCAGGAAAGAGCTTCCACATATGCAAACACAGCTACCAGCTCCTCCTCACCGCACCCCTGATTACAGAGAGATTGAATCTTCTCCAGCTTAAATTTCTCTTTGCAGCTGCTTGCCCGTGGGGACTCTGCAAGTTTCCAAAGCTGTGCAGCTATGAAATCTGTAGAGAGATTGTTGCCCATAGGGAAACTGAGGGGTAGTACTGACTTTGGCTGCCAGTGCCACTAGAATTTATTTAGATTTTAGTATTATAATCCCAGAAGCTGCACACACCCTTAGAAAGATGTGTGTTTAAGGGGAGGGGACCAAATTAGAGAAAAATCTATTTTTTAAAATTTTGATATAAAAGGACAGGGGTCATATAGAAGACAATATACATTCTTAGATGTTCAACTTTATTAGCTTTTAGTTTTTCTTTCACATATTTCCTCCTTTATTTCAAGTCTCTCTTTTTTTGGTAGAAAATGAAAGAATGAAGAAAACATAGAAAAATTATTTATTATAAATTTTTTCTTAATCAGAAGTAATATAAATTATCTATCTACTTATAGTAAAAGATTGATATAGATAAGTTAGCCTAATTGAGGTCAAGTTTATTACTCAGTACATTATAATATGGGCCCTTCAATTCAACACATAGTTATCAACCACTTTTTTTTACAGTTCATGAAATAGAAGTGTGTGATCCATATAGATACAATAAATATTAAATAACATTGAAAATGAGATCAATTGTTTAAGTCATACACGCACACACAAAATGAACACAACACAATGATAGACAACATAATTTAAAAAATCAAAATAGAAAACAAAGACAAATTTAAGGAAACCTTCCTACTCTTTTCTTCTCTTATTCAGTACTTGTATTTGCTATCTTTCTTCCAGAGTTTCTGGCTGAGTCCATGAGCTGCCAACCCTATGGGCCTGATATATTTTGAAAGTAACTAGGATGTTAAAATTTCAAATAGAGTTTGGACAATCATTCACTTCCCTAGGTGAATGATTGTTCCTGTGTTGCCAACTCCATTGGTGATCTTTTGTTTCTAGGAATATTTGAAAAAGAGATCCTCAGTTTTTTTCAATCAACTTAAATAAAACCAGATTTGTTTGGTGTATTGTAATAATAGTTTCCTGAAGAGTTCTTTAGAGAAATGTGTTCCTAGGTATTTTATTTTCTTTGTTGCTATTGTGAAGAGTATTGAGTCTTTCATTTGGTTCTTAGTTTGACTGTTGTTGGCGCATAGGAATGCTACTGATTTGTGTCCATTGATTCTGTAACCTGAGACTTTGCTGAATTTTATTTATAATTTCCAGTAGTCTCTTGGCAGAATATTTGGGCTTTTCTAGATATAAAATCATACTGTCAGCAAAGAGCGAGATAGTTTGACCTCTTCTGCACCCATTTGGATGCCCTTGATTTCCTTCTCTTGTCTGATTGCTCCAACTAGGACTTCCAGCACTATGCTGAATAGAAGTGGTGATATATTTAACTAAGGGGGTGAAAGACCTCTACAGGGAGAACTATGAAACACTGAGGAAGGAAATAGCAGAAGATGTAAACAGATGGAAAACCATACTATGCTCATGGATCAGCTAAATTAACATTGCTAAAATGTCTATACTACTCAAAGTGATCTACATTTTCAATGCAATCCCTATCAAAATACCAACATCATCTTTCTCAGAGCTAGAAAAAATAATTCTATGCTTTGTATGGAACCAGAGAAGACCCCATATAGCAAAAGCAACCTTAAGCAAAAAGAACAAATTGGGAGGTGTCAATTTACCACACTTCAAGCTATATTACAAGGCTATAGTAACCAAAACAGTATGTTACTGGCACAGAAACAGAGACAGACCAAAAGAACAGAACTGAGAACCCAGATATAAAACCATCCTCACATAGCCATCTAATCTTTGACAAGGCATACAACAATATACACTGGGGAAAAGAATCCCTATTCAATAAGTGGTACTGGGGAAATTGGATAGCCCCATGTAGAAGACTGAAACAGGATCTGCACTTCTCACTTCTCACAAAAATCAATTCACGATGGATCACAGACTTAAACCTAAGTCATGAAACTATAAGAATTCTAGAAAAAAAATGTTGGAAAAACTCTTACAGACATCAGCCTAGGCAAAGAATTTATGAAGGAGACCCCAAAAGCAATCATAGCAACAAGAATAATAAATAAATGGGACCTGATCAAATTAAAAAACTTCTGCACAACCAGGGAAACTATCATTAGAGCGAATAGACAACCTACAGAGTAGGAGAAAATATTTGCATATTATACATCCAATAAAGGGCTGATAACTAGAATCTATATAGAACTCAGGAAAATCGGCAAGAAAAAATCAAACAACCCCATTAAAAAGTGGGCAAAGGACATGAACAGAAACTTTTCAAAAGAAAATATATTAATGGCCAAGAAATATATGAAAAAAAATGCTCAACATCTCTCATCATCAGGGAAATGCAAATGAAAACCACAATGAGATGTCACTTAACTCCAGTGAGAATGGCTTTTATCAAAAAGTCCCAAAGCAACAAACGTTGACATGGATGTGGAGAGAGAGGAACACTCATACACTGCTAGTGGGACTTCAAACTACTACAACCTATATGGAAAATGGTATGGAAATATCTCAAAGAACTAAAAGTAGAACTACCATTTGATCCAGCAATCCCACTACTGGGTATCTTCCTAGAGGAAAAGAAGTCATTTTATATTAAAGACATCTGCACCTGAATGTTTATAGCAGTACAATGCACAATTGCAAAGATGTGGAAACAACCCAAGTGCCCATCAGTACATGAGTGGATTAATAAAATGTGATATATGTACACCATGGAGTACTACTGAGACATAAAAAAATGTCCACTATCTATTGTATCATCCTACATGGAGCTGGAGCCCATTTTTCTAAATGAAGTATCTCAAGAATGGAAAAACAAACATCACATATACTCACCATTAAATTGGTACTAATTGATCAGCACTTATGTGCACATATGGTGGTAAAGCTCACAGGGTATTGTGCTCTTGGGAAGGAGAGGAAGGCAGGGGTAAATTCACACCTAAGGGATGCCATGCATGCTGTCTGGGGGATGGGCACACTTGTAGCTCCAACTTGGGCAGTGCAAAAGCAATTTATGTAACTAAAGCATTTGTACCCCCATAATACTCTGAAAGTTAAAAAAAAGTAAACTGATAACAAAAAAACAAAAAAAAAAAGATTTCTTAGGAGAATGAAAGGTTCACAAAGAAAAGTAATAGGACATATATGCCTTTCTTCACTTAAAAGATAAAAATAAAATGAAAAATAAACATTTTCTCTTCTGAGAAGAGAAAATGGAGGGAAGCTACAAATAGTAAAACTTCAGGTTATTGATATCATTTGGCATTCATAATTTCCATGTATTTGACATATGTGAGAGATTAAATGATCCAAATATGTAAAAATTAGAAAATAATAACTTTGTATAGATGCATATAACTATCATGAGATTTGGGGGACACTTGTTTAGGTATGGACTCAATTATTTGGTTTGTACATTAAGACTATCTCATTCCACTTTTTTGTCTGCCATTGCTGGGTTCACCTGGGTTTATTTAACAGAAATATAAGTTCTTAGCCCTGTGAACATATGGCTACACCAGGTGAGATAGAGTGACTAGGAACACAGTGGACAAAGGACTAATGGGGCCATCGAATGGTACCTTCATGGCAGAATTGAGAATGAGTTTGACTGGAAGAGAATGACCATAGTAATAAAATGAAAGAGCAAAGCCAGTTTAATCATTAAGAAATTAAACAAGGTGGAGGGAGCTTCTACTTATATATTGTGATTTGAAGTCCTCTGACTGAGTTTTTGGTAGGTAGGAACTATTAACTGGAACTTATTTTTGCTTGTGGTACTGAAACATTCTGAGGCAATGGAACACAGGAGTGGTAAATTTGGATGGCATGACCGAGATATGAATTAGAGGATGCTGTTAGAGAAAGCAGACCTGAGTGGCATATCATCATGGAAGGAAGTTGGCAGAACATGAGCCTAATGGCCTATCAGGCGGATTTCCAAAGGGTCATGAGGTGCTGCAAGAGATTTGGAAGGAGAAAGTAATAGCCTTGTTTAAAAAATGTACACCCACCCAGAAGAATCAATTTTAGTTCCGTATTTTAGATTCTTCAAATTCTTTAGAACCAATCTCAGTTTCAACACATATGTTATATACTCCTTGGCCTGAACAAGAAATGCTTTAGTTTGGCTCATATGTTTCTCTAAAAAAATGATATGGCTGCACATTTTATCATGGGCATTATTCTGAGTTATTCTTTTTAAATAGTGCCTTGGAAATGTGTCATGTAAATAAAACCATATAGTTTTAACAAATGGATATTGGCCTTTACAGAATTTGTTTTGGCACCCAAATCAATTTTCTTTTTAATCACCTATTATTGTTCCACTTCAAGATCTGCTGGTTTCTCTCTCTTTCACTTTAGTTTCTAACCAGTAGATCCAGTGCTGAGTTTAAGTAGTTATGCAGGAAATATTTGTTTTCTTATCTTTTCTAACAGATTACTTTTAAGGTGGAAGTAGATGTTGTATTTTTCTTCCACTAATCCACTCTTATCCCTGGAGACTCTTTCTTTTATTCATACACTAAACAAACATTGATTGAACATCTACAATGCAATAAGCCTTGTGTTTGGGATAGGTGTGCAAATAAGAAAAATGTTCTCTGTGCTCATGGAACTCATAATCAAGTGGGGATATAGACAGTAAGCTGAAAATCACAATTCAGTATGGTAAGTGCTATGCCAGAGGCTTGCACAGGGTGCTTCATGAATGCAGGGAAGAACCCCATAACTTAGTTGGGGGGGAGATCAGAAAAGAAAAAGGTCTTGATTAAGCTGAATTCTTAAAGGATGAGAGATGTTAAGTTAAGCTGGAGAAGCCCAACAGGTTATTTTAGATCAATAGTAGGGCATTGGCAAAGGAATAGAGGCAATGACATGAGGGAAGGTCTTTATATGTGGCTGAAGCATTGGTGGAACACAGGGGTGGGAGAAGATGAAATAGAAAAGAGTCATCATGTTGAGCTTGCATGCAAAAGAGTGAAAACTTTAATTTGAAGGCAAAGGGGATGTGTAGGGTGGGCACTGAAGCATTTTCAAGTAGGAGTGATGAGATATTTGCATTTTAGAAAAATCACTCAGGTAGTATGTGTTGGTTGGGGTGAGAGGAAGCTCTTCCTTTGAGAAGATTAGTCAGATGAAGTGCAGTAACCAGCTGAGATAGCTAATGGAGACAGGGCACACTGTATGGGGGAAGAACAGGCTTGTGGCCCTTGCTTGAGTGAGGCAAATGCATTTCATGTAACCAAAATGTTTGTACCCCTATAATGTCCTGAATTAAAAAAATAAAAATCCAAATAGAATATTAGTATATCTTTATGCATTCAGAAATAAAATTAATGTTTAATATATGTGCACACCTTACTGATTTAGTCAAGAATTTTCTGCTTTACTGTAACATTTTAATTTGCATGTTGTGCTGAATTTGAGAAGGAGGCAATGCTTTGGAAACACAATATCTCTAAATGTATCCTTAGATTCCAACTCTAAAATAGAACGTACACTTTTTTAAATTAAAAAAAAAGAAGAAGCTTTTGAGCCAAGGTACTAACAATGAGTTGCAGATAAAGAGATAGGTGTAAGATTTATTAATACTTAGGAGGAAGATTGTACAGGTCTAGGTGGCTGATGATATTGTGGGAAGAAACTTTGAAAGATGGTCGAGTTAAGAATTATTTTTAGGTGTCTGATTTGGACAAGCAGTGGTGTCATTTACTAAGACAACAATATAGAAGAAAAGGATTTGGAGTGCAAAATCATGAGTATGTTGAATTTGAAGGACTATGGAGCACAACTGGAGATGTCCAGGAAGCAATTTATGTGGAGAGAAGAGATACATCTAGATGAAAATGATCTCAATGTGAGTCTCCATTAGTAAGACAAGGGCTTTGATTAATTTCCCTACTTGTAATGGTACATAGGCATAGTTCTCTATATCAACTTGCCTTCTTTTCTCTTGGGACCAAAGGTGGTCATTTCTGTGCTGGGCAGCTGAGTGTAGCAGTTTGGGAACTTGGGGAAGAATGAAGCCATATGTTGTATGGTAGGGTATGCCCAACTTCACTGCCCTGCTCTGGGCCATATAGAGTCTGCTGGGTGGTTCTCCTCCACCCTTGGCTATGTTACCACTTCCTGGGGGCAGAGAAGATCTCCCTACTCTTGCCCTTTCATTCTAATATAAGTCCAAGTCAATTCAGCATAATAGGCAGAACATCTGCTATGTATAATGCACTGTGCCAAGTGCCAGAGATAATATCCAAAAAGGGTTGCTGAGTGTTTTAGAGAGGTTTATCATTTCATGGGCGATACAGTTATTTACATAAATGATGAATACATGAGCATTTTGAATCTTTGCTTTGCCTTTTTATTGGATTCTTCCTGGGGGGACATCTTCAATTTTACCCACTGGAGAGAACTAAGTTCATTTCACTCTTTCATTGCAGGAAGGCCATCCAGCCACTCTTTCTAAAATTGCAGTCTTCTTTCCACACACATTTTCAGATTCTCTGTCTCATTTTCCTGCTAAAGTTTTCTTTTCAGTATTTATCATGTAACACAGTATGTATTGTACTTATTTTTCTTACCTATTACAGGTCTTCTCCTGTGTCATGAAGGCAAGATTTATTTATTGCTGTATCTCCAGTGCCTTAGTAAATATTCATTGAGTGAATGAATGCATGGTTAAATGCATATACTCATTCTTTGAACAAATACCTAGCATGTGCCATGTACTTGGTATAAAATGGTGGATTAAATTTTCTAGAGGCGGAATGCTGAGGCAGGAGGATTGCTTGAGATCAGGAATTTGAGGCCAGCCTGAGCAAAAGCAAGATCCTGTCTCTACTGAAAATAGGATAAATTAGCTGGGCACAGTGGCACATATCTGTAATCCCAGCTACTCAGGAGGCTGAGGCAGGAGGATTGCTTGAGCCCAGTAGTTTGAGGTTGCTGTGAGCTAGGCTAATACCACAGCACTCTAGCCTGGGTGACAGAGTGAGACTCTGTCTCAAAAAACACCACCACCACCACCAAAACAAACAAACAAACAAAACCTAAGATAATAAGTAAAATAAAACATAAGAATCCTACCATCATGTAGTTTACATTTAGTGGGAGAGATTGGCATTAATTAAATAATCTCATAAATATGTAATTACAAATCCTATTTGTATATCCTGCCCCTATAAGTAATCAACAGCTATGAATGACTTGCCTTTGCCCTGTGAACTTTAAATTGTCTAAATTTGTCTCTTAATCTACAAAGTAGAAAGATTTATCATTACTAGATTTGTAAAAACAGTAAAATTGAGCATTTCTTGGCAATGTTGAAGAATAATATAACACTATACTGCCCTCTTCCAGTCTGTCTAGTATGTGGAAAATGAATTTGACAAAGAAAATTAGTATCCTACATGATGATATTTTATTACCTGTTACAGAATATTTATCCAATGGGATGCTACCCAGATTAAAGTGCTTATAATGTGTGTGATTACAGATATATTCTGAATCAATTTCTTTTTAGAGCAGCCTTTTATTTCCACAAATGAAGTGTGGGAACTTTTAGTACTATGATAAGAATATCAGAATATCTGATATTCTTATTCTGAATATTCTAACCCACTGAGCTTTATTGCCTCTTTAGGTAAGATAAAACCAAATTTTAACTTTCTGTTTCAAAACACACATTTTTTTTTCAAGAAAATACCTTCAGTGTTTTACCCATTATTTTAAAGGAAACTATAACTTCTTTAATTTAAGATTGAGTTTTTAGGGGAAGATATAATATGAATTTTGCAGAATTATTTAAAAGGTGTACTAATGAGCAACTGCTCAAGTTCCTCTTACATTCATTTGACAAGGAATATAAATAATATTTGAAATTTTCATCGGTGATTAACCTCAGTACTGTAATGGTCCTGCTTCTTATTCAATGCCTGTAATAAGCAATCTTCCAAGTAATAGTTGGTAAATAAAGTTGTCATATATATTGACAGTAATAACTAAACTATCACTACCCACAGGCCCCCCTCCTTGCTCCAAATTTTAGGATTGCAGAATTAACATAGCACATTTTTTTTTTTAGATCTAAGTGCATACCAGCTGCAGTCTTTTAAAGTCTCATATCATTTTGTTAGCACAATGCCTGCCTACGTGAGCAAAAACATGGGAACTGCATCCTAATGCTGTTGACAAGATTTTTTATTTTCATGATTACTTCTCTGCCTTTTTTTATTTTGCCTGCAGGCAAAGGTTGGCATACATGTCAAGAGAATGTTCTCCAGCTGGGGCCTGCAGTACAGAGAATTGTATATACCAGAGGGCCCATGGGACTCTAGGCAGATTATTATGGTAATATTGGAGGCTGTTGTCCTCTCCCTCCCACAGCTGGGCCGCCTCTCTCATTGTAAGTATTGAAGCAATATGTTTTGCAAATTATACGTTGGGAACAACAGGGACCCAGTAAAGTGAGGAAAAAGAGAAACATTGCAAAATGTTGTCTTTAATATTATATTTTTCTTGTTCATCAAGCAAAATAAATTAAAGCTTTAATTTTTTTTAATTAAATGAGGATCATATATTGAAAAAGAGCTATAAGAGTAAAAACTTAATATTGATTTTATTGAGTGAGTTTTAAGAAAATATCGTTACAGAGAAATTAGACAGTAGCCTGATTCAAGAGAATCATGGTAAGATTACATAATAGCCTTTATTATGGATTTCAAAAATCCTTTTGAGTCCAATGAAGCTGGGTTAGCAAAAATTGCACAAAAAATATCATTTTAATTAGTGCTAATGTGATCTCGTCATGGTCCAGCTGTTTCATGCAGGATGAAAATGTGTTACTTTATTAGATATGCATCTTAGAAAAATGTCACTTCTGATTTCAAACATTTGTTATTAAAGTACATTTTAATACAATAGTAGAGCAACATGATTGATTTATCGAAATGAAGCATTAGTGAAATTCAGGCGAAAAGGCTTAAAAGCCTTCTTAATTGAGGAAGAAATGTTTTCCGTCTGTCTAGCCTTCCTTTCTGGGAACATTAATAACAAAATGAGAGTCATATTTCTATTGTGCATTTTGAAGACATATCATGTAAGAGAGAGTTAAAATGTCACTAATTCACAAATTAGTACTTTTATAGTGCACAAAGTTTCCCTCATAATATAAAGTTGTAGGCTAATTTTAACAAATGCTACACTGTTTCAGTTTTCATTAATGAATTTAAATTTATTCAACAGCAAACATTTCCATGTTTCTCTTGATGGAGAATCTACAACTCATTTTTTTGGGTTTAGCTTTCATTATTTCAGCGAGTCTTAACTTCTCCATTCGGATATGAGATTCTATACCCCTAGAAAAAGAACTACATTCTGATTAAAAAACTTAGGAGTATGGCTCAAATCCTTCCCTGAAATTCTTATTTGATTTAGCAAGATTGAACCTTCTCACATGAGACAATAATATTAAGTACAGTACATTTATTTATAATATGTCTTCTATTCCTTAGCCACAAACCTATAAAACATCTCACCATGTGAAATCCTGTGCCAGACTGATATATTTATCTACTCTATTTATTTGATATCATGCCAGTATATTTTAGCTTGCTATTGATAGGGATGGTCACATATAATTTACTCCCCTCAGCTAGATATTCATTTAGGAGAAATTTAGTAAATAAAAGGCTGGTAGGAAGTGATGTTCAGCATAAATGCCAGCCTCTATGATCTTCTACTGAATTATAGCTATCATTTGGAAGTGGTAGCAGAGAGGGGGAAAAAGGCAGCAATTCTCTATTGTTTTTCAGCATTGTTTCTCATTATTCCAATCACTGTCTCAGTGTTTTTTTAGTCAAAAAGCCTAAGTAACTCAACTTGATTGATGCTATCAGGGAACTTACTTGTCTGTTTCAAGATTCCACTGCGTGGTGCAGGACAGCTGTTTTACCTTCTTTGAACTCTTCTTGTCGCATGGACTCAAGCAAGTTTACTCCTTTGAAAATCTGATACTGAACAAATAGCAACTTTTGATTTTATAGAATAGGCACTTTTCTCAAAGATTCTTTCCTGTGCATGCTTGGTGTAAGAGAGCCTTTCTAGGTAACACCAGTTTTTTAATGAGCCTGTTTAAGGGGTTAAGTAACCAATCCTTTTGAATGGGGTCAGGAAAAATATATCCTTTTTCTGTAGATAATGTCACAGTGTAGTGAATGGTGGTAATTGATATGAATTTCTCTTGTGGTCTTACTGGTGAGAGGACGTCGGCATAGTGAAGCCATGAGAAAGGAGTAGAGGCTTGCTTCCCTATTTCTTTGGACATACTGATCCTTGTATTGCATACCAGCACGTGCTCCCCAAGTCATGGTGGGTGAAATAATATTCCGCATTAGATACACTCTTCTTATTTTTACTTTAAATTTTTAGTAATATTGAAGCATCATTTTTTTGAGCTATATTTTTCATGTATTGAAAGTGTGGGTATCTGTCCGATTGCCAGTAATACTAGCCTCAAAGCCAAAGAAAATAAAGACCAATAATGGCTGCAGGATATTTTTCTCTCCCACCACTACTTAGAGATATGTATGGATTAAAATGGATCCAGACCCAAGTTTGGATTTCTATCATACAAATGACGGAAATCTCATAATGCCAAGATACTATCGAGAGCTAAGAGGGCAATGGAGAGGGGTCATAGTGGCTCTTAGAACTTGCAAAAGAGGATGGTGGCTCTGTGGGCTGCCAAGTAAATACCTGGCACTTTTGGGGGATACTCATGAAATTCAGTATGCTCAACTCCCATCAATGCATTTTTATTGAATGAATGCCTACTGCATACAAAAAAAGTTTGGGTTATGCACCATAGGAGTTCAGAAGAAACTGCAAGTATGGCTTTTGCCCTCAGGGGAGCTTATAATTTTGTTAGAGAGACGAATAGCCATAAATGAAATAATCTAGGCTAAAAATTGCCAGGTTTTGAGTGAATGGCACGTGGGCACAGTGGTTACCATGGGCAGGGATATCGGGCCAGGGTTCCTGTGGAACAGCCAGATAGGAACATCCATCTCTGGGGAAGAGTGAATGAAGCTGGCTGAGGGGCTGATGTGGGAATGTGAGGATTTGTTTTCGTGGAGAGTTTCTTAGCATCAAATGCAGAATCTCTATTCCCTCGGTAATGTAAAGGCAATTTAGTGATACATCTTGGTGGGTACATTCTCCCAGAATATCATTTCTACAGGAATATTGCAATGTATGGATGGGCTGAAGGCTGATTTTCCAGGCCTAGGAAATTAACAATTCATTTGTATTTCAAATTATTTTAAAGTCTTGGGACAGTTTTTTTCCATGGCCAAATTCATCTGGAAAAATGTACTTGGCTCCGTGCAGACAGATTCAGATAGTAGACCTTGATGTTTTCTCCATCATTTATTCAATATAATTTCCTTTAACCAAAGTAAAATATTTTCTTAATGAACACTGGTGACTTCCACATACATAGATTCTTTCACAGTCTATGAAATATTGAAAAATGCTAAAGCAGTCCAGAAAAACACCCAAGGACATGCCAACAAAATTTTGCCAATAGTTCTTGCAGATAAAGGATCTACCTAACTGTTTTTAGAGACCTGCAGATATATTAGGTCACTAAATATGAAATGTCTGGTTTCAAATCAAAAGTACAGTTTATTATATCTCAAACAAGAAGCAGTGCAATTAATCTAGGTATACACCTAAACTATCCACACAGCTTTGCCATCTTAAGGGTAGCTTTATGTCATCAGGAAAGAAGCCTGGATAGCAAATGGTGATGAAATTGCAAAAGGAGTTTTTCCACAGCTTGTTGAGAATTGAATATTTTTTCTTGTAAGAAGTGGTCCAAAGCCTGAAAGAAGCATTATTATTCAGTTAGTGCAGGGTCTGGTGAATATGGTGAAGGACAGAGAGTTTCCACGTCCAGCTGCTGTAGTTTGAGCAGCAGCGTTTGTGTGACATGTGGTTGAACGTCATCTTGCAAGAGGATTGGCCTGTCTCTATTGACCAGTCTCAGCTTCTTAATCACAAGCATCCTCATTATTTCATCTAATTGGGTGCAGCAGACATCAGCAGGAACGGATTGACCAGGTTTCACGAAGTTGTAGTAGATACAGCGCTGGACCACCAAACAGACACCGTTAGAATTTTTGATGAATATTCAGCTTTGGACTGTGTGTTGGCACGTCATCTTTATGCAGCCATTGTGCTGAAAGCTTGCAATTGTCAAAAAGAATCCATTTTTCTTCACAGGTAACAATATGGTGTAGAAATTCTTCACCTTTATGTTGTGACAGCAAAGAAAAGCAAGATTCAAGATGATTTTTCTTTTGATGCTTGTTTAATTCACGTGGAACCCATCTATCCAGTTTTCTTTACCTTGCAAATGCATAGGAACTGTTGTTTGTTGGAGATGGGAGAATAGGTTGTGGGGGGCGGGGAGAGAAGGATGGAGGAGGATTCTTTTAGTCGTGGTTCTAATGCCTGAGTGTAGACTGTCCCATCTAACTGGTTCTCCTTACCTTCCCCATTCACCCTCACTCTCTCCTTGGTGTTTGCTTTTTGCTTTAAGACACCCAGATGCTGGGGAACACTGTCTTTTGTCTTCTACTCTCAGAGTAGAGACAGCTCACCCTGATTCAGTTCCTCTCACTCACCTCCCTACCATGCAACACTGCCTTTTCCTTGGAAGTGTGAGTGAGTGTGAGTATGTGTGTGTGTGTGTGAGGGGGGGCTCCTTTTAAAACTCAGCACCTCTAAAAACCAAGGTGTAAATAAGTAAGTCAGCTAAAGTAATTAAATGAGTGTAACTTAGACCAAAATTTATGTAGGTGGAAATTAGGACCTTTCAAATAGTGTTTTTTTTTTTTCCTTCAAAAAGTAAAAACTTGAGGAAAGCTTCTGAGTGTTTGGCAGTCATCAGAATCCATATAGGGAGACTTTTCAAAGCATATAGCCTTTGACCCCAGCAATTCTGATGACCCCTCTCTTCCCCACCCCTTCCTTTGCATTACTAAAAGAGTAGGAGATAGAAATGATGGTATGCGTGTGTATTTGAGTGTAAGTATGTGCACATACGTGTATATATCTTTTAAAATAAATATTTATAATTCTTTCCATAAATTATTGAAAAATGACCAAATGATTTTTTTTTTCTTTTAAAACTGTGGTCTCCAATCCCTGGGCTGTGGACTGGTACCAGTCTCTGGCCTGTTAGGAACCAGGCTGCACAGCAGGAGGTGAGTGGCAGGTGTGTGAGCAATGCTTCATCAGTGTTTACAGCTGCTCCCCATCACTGCCTGAACCCCACCTCAGATCAGTGGCAACATTAGATTCTCACAGGAGCATGAGCCCTACTGTAAACTGAGCGTG